ATTGGACAAACTACAAATTCTGTCATTTAAATTTTATTAAAGTTAAATATCTGCATATTTAATTTAAAGAGCATTATAATAACACCTAAGCTTCACTGAATAAATATATAGAAGTGTATTTTAATTGCAAATATCATTTTTTTTTCTTATTAAACTTAACATTACAACACTTTTTTATTATATTTTGCCATTGTAACACCCAGCTCGACTGCACGTCAAAATCAAAGAGAAACAGATTCGGGTGGCAGCTACCGCAGAAGCATGGCGTCTCATGCTGACTGTTTCGCAAACTGGTCAATAACTCACATTCAGATATGCGAAGCTGTCAGACGAACCACCTCTTTAGAGAGGTAATTAGGCACTTACAATTAATTACATGGTTGAGTCTAATCACGTGATTGTGCATGGTGTGTTAACGTTAAAGTCTTAAGTCATTTGTTGACTATCACGTTAAATCAGTTTTCGGATCAGATTCAATTGGGAACCTGCAAGTCACGTCACACGTGTGTGTCCAACCTGATTGGCTATCCCATTCCAGAACTCGCTTGTAGGTAAATTACTGTTTGGTGATTCAGTGTTCATTATTTCAATTTAAAGCTTCAGAAATTTTGTTTCTTATATTTCAGTTTTTATTTGATTTTTTGATGATTTTGAATTATAAATGTTTCATTGTTTAAATTTAAGTTGGGCATCAGGGAATTTATAACAATATGCACGCGATTTTACAGATATGCAAAATGACAGAAAATGCTTTTTTCCCCATCAAAAATTGTAGCCGAATTCTTTCTGTATTTTTTATGTATTCCTTCATTAATCCTGTATATGAAAATAATTATTGTTATTCACTTTTAAAAAGTGTAGAGTGAAGACTTAATCTATTTTTAACTAGTATGATGGTTTTTGAGCATTTTCGGTATTTTTAAATTTTACTGTCACTTTCAAATGTAACTAAACTCATTTGCCTTTTTTCAAACTTCCTTTTGCTCTCTATCCTTTGATTACATTTCGATTCTCTTATGAACTCTAAGAACATTATTTTGTTATTTTCAATTCGATTAGTTTGTTTATTTGTTTTGTTTTGCTTATTTTTTAATTACTGAGTACGGAGCTCTGCCTAATGTATTTAAACGTTTTTTTATACAATTATTATTATTATTGGGGAAAAACGGCACAAATACAGGTTTTGCGCATCCCAAAACCACCTTTTATTTACTTTTTTCAAATTAATTTGTCAACTCGGTTAACAATGAATTCACCTGACTTAACTTGAAATGATTTAAATATAATTTATCGCGCATAAGAACAACGAAAAACAAACAAAGAGTTTAACAGGTCCATTAAGGAGTAAATATCACACTAAGAACAAAAGTAGAGTTACAATCAAGGTGTCACCACGATTAAATCCGTGACTTTATAAGATTTAATAACACTCTGAATCAAATAATATTTCCTACCTCGGCATCTAGATATTCTTACAATATCGTTGACAAATTGCGCTTAACATTAAAGACCATTACTACAATATTGTTAAATATTAGGGAGCAGTATTACTTGGTTCGACCCGATTCCAAGAGGCATAAACATTTTATTATATAATTCTATAAAAAACAGTTCGGAGGTATATGGCTACATAGAAATAATTCTAATTATTTTTTTCCCGAAACTTAGGTTATTTTTATGTGGAAATTTTATTACATTTCAAATCCTCTTCTGTAAAATATATTTATTTTTCTTTGATAAATATATAAAATACTTTTGAAACGAAATTTAATGATGGAATTCTAACTATTCCCAAATGCATTTGTGTTGATCCGCGCTCAGAACTAGCATTTAATTTAGATCTCTTCGCAAGAAGTTTCCAATAAAAGTGAAATAAAAAAAAGAAACCTAAATTGGTGTAAATGAATGGGGTCTGAATATAAAAACGTACAATTTGTTACAAGTCTTTGTTAGTTTTCAAAGGAAGTTTCAACTTAAAAGAGAAAAGCTCGTTTAGTAAAGATCCTGAAAGTGTATTACAAGTTAGATTTTTCACTCTCATCACGTCTTTATTAACTTTATTTATCTACTTTTTTTTATTTAACATCTTTTTTATTCTTTGTTCTCTTTAATGTTTCTATGTATTTTCTGGCATTTATTTTTTATCTGTTATAACTGATAGCAGGTTTTTTTTTTTATCAAAACTTTCAAAAAATTTTTTTACAAATTCACGTATAATAAGTGTGCAGTATAGTAAGATTTTTATTAAGTTACAAATTTTATTTTAACTTGCCCTCGGTGTAGTAATAATAGTATCGAAACAATTTTATTTAGTTTCCAATTTTATTTTGAACTGTGGTTTTCAAAAAATGGTTAAAATTCATTTTATACCAACTGTGTGCCTATTAGATGTTTTAATTTATTTCATGAAAGCCGTTTAAATTTAAATCAATTTGACACTTTTTGAACCTTTTTTCTCCGAAGTAGACAAATACTACTGTATACATATTATTATAATCAGGCACATTCAATCAGCACATAAAAAAAGAGTAAATATATATATATATTTATAACATAAAAAACTTTAACAAATCTTTTTATGTTATTTCTTTGCCTAAACGTCTCCTTTTTTTAATTCATTATTCAAAACGAAACCCGCTTTTACTGATGGAAACTCATATCCGGCGTTTCAACTAAAATTTTAATTTAAAGAATGTAATAATTATCGTTATATTTTTTTTCCCGTAGGGAAATATGAAATCCCGTGAGAAGCTTCTCTTAAAGTATTCTAACCTATCATAATTGTTATATCATCCCTTGATAGACACGTGGTCGGGATTATCTGTGATCTTTCCCTTTTAAAAATCCTTAAGTGCACATGCACATCGTATTCAGTGTGATTTTGATGTTCGTTATCTTCACCATAATGTCTAAATAAAGAGTAATTTAATTTTTACCTTCATACCTTCCTTAAATTTCCTTGCTTGATCCGATGTATATACAGCTTATTAAAGAAAAAAATAAGATAGTGAAAAAAATTTAAAAAAAATAAGAAAGTAAGCTAAAAGAAGAAAAAAAATAAGAAAGTAAAAAAAAATTAAGCGCAATTGTTATTATTAGCATAATTATTTATTTTCATAATTTTCTGGGAGAAACATAAAACACATTGGACAATAAACTAATACAGATGTCATTGTTTTTTTTATATGGTTCAAGTTAATCAAACTTATCAATTCCAACTTATTAAAATAAAATACTTTTATTATAGAATTGTTGAAATAACATGAATATTTTTTCTCTCAAACAATAATTACACAGTTGTAAACATTCTAAAGAATAGAAGAATATCGTAGAAATATAATATCACTCAAATATCTCATTATATGGCACCTAATTATTCAAGCAACCTTACTATTCACTTTATTATTAACGCTATCTCGCATATCTCCATTATCATGCTTCCTGATTACATTTCTGGGTCTAAAAATACTTCTTGGAATTATCAATTTTTATTTGTCTTATTTGTTACTATGATATGTATCATTAATCATTGTTTTTTGCTATTTATCAATTCTTATTTATTTTTTTCTTACATTTATTGTTTTTTATTCAATTCTTCTTAACTTTTGTTAAAAAAAACATTGCTATTATACCAAACTATTTTTTTAATTAGTTCAATTATGTTTTTTTGACATTCAATTACTACAATAAATGACGCATAATGTGTACGTCAAACAGACACTACATTTTAGCGCAGATTAAAAAATTTCGAACACAATGGTAATTATTTGAAAAATCGTTTTATTTTTGAGAATTTGCCTCTCTTTTTCAATGCCTCTATTTTTTTTCAAAAGCAATGGCTGCATTAAAAAAATAAATAAAATGATTTTGAAAACAAAATTTTAAGCTGAAAAAAAATTAAAGAGCTCTCCAGTTTGATGTGTGAGTCTCAAATCTTCTCTCTTCATACGATTTTTGCTTATTCCCTAATAGTTAATTTTCAAACATCCGGAATATTTTAATTGTTTTGATATGTAGTTTTTTTAAAAATAAAACATATAATTTTAAGTGAATTTTCAATTCTCATTAAACGTTTTTAGCTTATGGAATATTTGTATTTTTATAATTTATATATATAATATTTTTAAAAACTATTTTTACATTGAACTCATTTTTTGAAAAAATTATTTTACATTTTAACTTATCTTGTGAAAATAATGCCATCTTTAACATAATTCTTTAAATAAGTTTAATTTTAAATGAATCTTTATAAAAAGAAAAGAGTTATATGCATTTCCCACTCTCCTATCATTTCGTAAAAGTTTATTTTTAACTAAGCTCTGCATATTGTGAGTGAGATATTTAAAAAAACACTTACCCACATTTAAAAAATTTCCTTCAAGAAACATACCTATATTTAAAAATAAATGAAGGAAACTTTGAAATGCTGCTTTTCTTTCTAAAATAAAATTGTTTTTATAAAAAAATAGTTTCAGGTTTAAAAAAAAGCAACCTTTAGAATATGAAAAGAAATTTCATTCGCTTTAAAAAATGTGAAGATGGTAATAAAAGTCGACACTTTTCGAGTGCTCAAAAATAGGTGTCCAATATCAAGACTCGCTAGATGTAAATGATGAAAAAAAAACGTGATTTGAAACCCCCGAAAAATGAAAAATAAATGAAAAATAACCCGTTGTCCCCGAAAAATGAAAAATAAAACTAGAAAAGACGAGAATGATAGCCGAGTAGCCGAGAGTGAAACATAAAATGAGTAAATGAGAGAAGAAAAAAAGAAAACCACAGTATCCGGCGAGAGAGGTAAATTTTCTTGATTTCCCTTTCTCCGTAACTGCGGTTTTTCTGGTTTTGTATGTATGTCATTCCTAATATGTATCGTCAAGTACATCTTTCCTCAGATTATTCATCGAATTCTGAGGGTAGTTAGTATCTTTTTTTCAGCGAATATAAATTGCGTGACTTCATTTATTTTGACTGATTTTCTTATAAATATTTTGTTTCAGTGATTAAACAGCGATTCAATCCTCAAGTGTATGATGATTTTGTGGTGAGAGGAAACACAGCAGTTCTGAGATGTCATTTGCCCACTTTTGTCAAAGAGTATGTCACGGTGGATTCATGGATAAGGAATGACGATTACGTTCTCAAAATGGCCGATACCAGAAGTAAGTAATAATATTTAATCAGTGCTACTTAAATACTTATCTGTGAATCATCCAACAGAAAACATGTAATTTGACTCAATAGATATTCAATAAAAAAATAACATTTTCATTGGTTGGTGTTAAAATGACAGTGATAAATATTACAAAAGACATATAAAAATTTCAGTTTATTGGTTTACATAAGTAAGCTTTGGGTCCACACCCCATAAATAAAGCAAAAAAATTATTCCTTATTGAAATAATATAAGGCGCTGTCCATTTTCATATACAAAGACCTTCTACACTGCGTATGCTCAAGATCTACGCTAAATATTACGAAAATGGGGTCAAAATGAGAAAAAAAATGATATACTGTTTATTTATTTATTATTATTTTTTATGCACGCCATGGGAGCTCAGGGGATAAAGAGTTCGTCTCCCAATAAAGTGACCAGGGCTCACAACCCAGGAAAGGCGTGTCGATACGAATTCCGCGCCTAGCCAGCACCGACCCCATTGCTGATGTGAAATTTTCCCAGTGGAAGAGGGATCATGGGTTAGAGTCTTTTGTAGTCAGACTTTGGAGGTTTTCGATTCCATGTAACTCAAATGTGGGCTAGTTCCAGTAAAAGATCCTCAGCGAAGGCAAATTTCTTTCAATATAAGATCCAAGAGCAGCGATGGCTCAGGGGATAGAGCGTACTCCTTCTAGTGCGGCGAACCGGGTTCGAATCCTAGTCGATACGAATTCCGCATCCGGCTTGCTCCGACCAAAGTGCTGATGTGAAATATCCTCAGTCTTAGACGGATCATGGATTAGAGTCCCATTGCCCTCAGGCTAACCATGGGAGGTTCTCGTGGTCTCCCTCTCCATGTAACGCAAATGCGGGTTAGCTCCATCAAAAAGTCCTCCACGAAGGCAAATTTCTCCCAATACTCGCTCCAGGAATTCCCTTGTCTTCTGGATAGGGTTCAAAATTACGAGGCAACGGAGTTGAACATTAGTAGTCGTAAACCCGTAAAATTGGGTCAATCGTTCAACGACGGTTATAAAATATAAAAAAAATATATGATCCAAGAGTTTCTTTGTCTTCTGAATTGTTTCTAAAGAGGTCCTTCTAATGTACTATTAGATCAATTTAGGTTAAGCTGGTAAATGGTTATGGTGTTCATTTCCTCAAAAGTGCTTTTGGTATGACTTCATTTGTCTTACCCTGAAAATTCTCTTAAATTTCATTCATTTCCTTTAAAAGCTTTTTAATGGATAGCACTTTTATTTATTTAGTATTTGATGCGTTTCAAATCATTTTATTGCTGGTGGTAACAAATTTGACAAGTTCATGAGACAAAACAATCTAGATAATCAGATAAATAATAGATTGCTTATGAACATAACGTGTCATTCGTCGTAATTTTAAACAGTTATACATTTAAGCATTTATTTCTATGCTTTAAACACTTCCCATAAAATGATTTCACATTTTTGGCTTTCGAAATGTATTTCATCAACTTATTTAAACTAATCATAAAAAAGAGGAACTACATCATATAAAATAACATATTGTGGGGGGTGAGTAGTTATCGGCCATGTCAACCTTCATCTATGAAAAGGTACCCCATCATAGAATCGAGTTACGAGTTACTAATGAATTGGAATTACATTTTTGTAGTGGTAGATACACTACAGTACTCTCCCACCAGAATTATAGTTGTGATGGAATTCGATGAACGGACACCACTAGTTGATTCATTGCGGTTTTGTGAGAAGCCGGGAGAGATGTATTAAGATCACCGTACTTTTGAGTGCTGATTGTGAGAGCTGTATTAATTTAACGGTCGTAGTCACTCATGTGTTGCCATTCGCTGTCGAGTGAATATGTTGTACGTTGTGTGTGATCGAGGCAGAGTAGCAAAAGCGCGAGGAGGTGAACAATATTGCAGTCACAAGTAGCAAGGCAACTGTTCAATGTAGATCATCCATCGAAGTGGGTGGTACTGTCAGGCTAGGCGTGTTCATTTCGAAGTGGGAGTTTCTGTTAAGGTAAGAGAGTTCACATCCAGTCCGGGTCACCAATGTGGAAAGAGTTGTTATCGACAATGTCAACCTTCAGCTATGAAAAGGTACCCTATCATAGAATCGAGTTACGAGTTACTAATGAATTGGAATTACATTTTTGTACTGGTAGATACACTACAATATGTCTAAATGAATAAGTTTTAATCAGTGCTCTATATGCATAGCTAAATATTAGCCACGATTACATATATGCAATATATTGAGAAAAAAAGGTAATTTCCTGAATATATTTAACAAATCAAAATTAACTTTCATATACTCATCTGGCATCAGGCGTTGCTTAAGTCATATTTCAGTATAAATTCCTAACGCTAATTTTAGCAACACTCTTTTGAGATTTACTTTGCAGTTTCATGGCTATCAGTTACTTTAGTTAATTGATCACATATTTTAATATTGTGTGTATTTTGAATGGAAGTTTAAAATCCTTTCCTTGTTAAGATAATTTTGTCATAATTTTAAACGGGTCTTAAATTTAATCAATAAAATTCTATCTTCAAGTTGAACATATTATAAAAATTTTCAAACATAATCTCAAAGAAAAATTTTAAGGTCATTTTACTTCATTAATCATTTACAATCTCATGCAAGAGAATCTTGCGAGCGTTGTCATTATTCTATCAGCAATAAATTATAATAGCATGAATTCATCTTTATTGAATAATACAATAGCTTGAATTCATCTTTAATTAAATATTGAAACACTAAAAATATAAAAAAATAATACTGTTTTTTAATCTTATAAAGTTTTTGAGCAGAATACGCACATTTATTTTAGCCTTTTATTTTGCTTTTCTATTTTTCACATTTATTTCTATATCCTATCTCCAACTCTCATAAGCTGCTAACTATTGAATTTTTTTTCTTCTGGCTTAAGTTACACTTCGCATTAAAGAGTAATTTAAACCATTTTCTACTTTCACGTTTACTTTCTAGTATATCATGCACTATCCATAGACAATAAAACCATATTTTTCAGCAATACATCACTCATTAAAATAAGTGCTTTTCAATTGAAAAGTAGATTAAGTAATGCAAAACAATTACGTATTGTAATTATGTAATTATTCCATAAAATAGCTTCCCTCGTATTTCTGTATTAATAATAATAGAACAATTTCTATATTTTTAGAAAATATTTTATTCAATAAATAATTTATATGTTATCACTGCCTAAGCCAAATTATCTCTTAATGTTTTGTATCAAAGGGAATCGCTAAATTAAAGGATACTTAGAATTGTATGTATGGCTGAATTCTTCAATAATGCATTTATTGATTGTTATGATGTTATTTGATGGTAAAAGCTAAAGTTGCTGAGTTAAGAAAATAAAGCGTGATCAGACACCCGTAGACTAATAAGATTGTCTAAATGAGAAAGGATCAAAGCAATTGGCTAAATAAGCTAGTCTAGGAAAGAATTCTCTCCTCCAATCGAATACATATAGAGATCTTCTCTCCTTAGAGATTCAGTAATTGATAGAAGAAGAGGAAAGGTGCGAAAAGGCTGTATTTTTCTAATTGCACTTTGTGTCAGTTGCATTAAAAAGAATCCATATCAGTAGTTTGAGTGGGAAAAGAAACTACATTTGTTATAGACCCTTAAAAAATTTATTATCTTTTCCTCGGTATTAAGTACTTGTACTACAATACCAGTTACTTTTGTGATTCTATTATGCTTATACATATTTTTCAAGTTAGTTCGAATTTCTTTTTGTTGGAAAAATAAAAATAACAAAGAACGCTAGACAAATTTGTAGTTTAAAACTCATATATTTTCAAAGCCCATCAACTCAAGTGAAAAGTACTGTTCAATACTGTAAGAAAAGTATACTTCTTTGATGCAGTGACAGACATGAGACTTGTATGGTAAAAAGCTTCGGTCACCTGAAATTAGACTACCGCAATGATTTAATTAGGCTTCAATAACGTCAAAAATAGTTTCGTGATTTTGCAATGCTCCCTCCAGAAGCGAATTAAAACCAAAATGTTACTTATATAAGGCGAAATTGTACATATTTTATTTATATTTTTTCCCAAATTTTCGTAATTATTAATCTCAGGAACTACACAAAAGATTAATATTATGATCAGTTATTTTAATTAAGTTGCTGTTGTTGTTTCCAATTCCCATTTGCCACACAAGCAAGCCTGCTTGATGAAACCAAACAAATTTAAGGCAGAACGTGCGTTTCTTGTTCTTCAGTGGCACCATCTATGGCCAAGAATTCGTCTTCAGTCACAAACACGTCACACCCGTTTACAGGGAGGACCCATTCATATATCCATTCATTCATCCACAGATGGTAATTTTTGATCTGGCTTAGAGAACGATCGATCTCCAATCCAGTACCCCCAGCAGAAGTATTGATTTGTTATGGGAATAGGGTGGACTTTGCTACTCGACAGATTTAAAGCGCATCAGTCACCATTTACTACACTGGGAGTCTTTGGGCGGCGGGGTTCGAACCCACGAGCTCTCTGGCATGGGCCCAGTGCCCTACCGACCAAGCTATCCGGCCTATTTTTAATTAAGTAAACAGTTGGATTTATGACTGATATTTTTTGACGCAAAACCAAACTATATTTCCGCATTTTATTGATAAATATGCATTGGAAATATAAACATTGATTTTTTATATTATGGTTCAATCTGCCATGAATAAAAGTGCTAATCTTTAAAATAAATTTTAAGGATAAATGGAAAAGTCTTAAGTCAAAGCCCCTGCTTTTAAGATCCAACTTAAACTTTCTGTCCGCGTCTCACTGATCGTAAAATGTAAACTCCCGTCTTTCTTTCGAATTAACCACCGTAAGTCTTGATCAAGATACGCTTAAGGTCTGGATTACGTAAGCAGTAAGGGAGAGGGAAACATCTTTCAAATTTACCTATGGGACGTTAAGCAATGTCCTCTCTTTTGTCCCCGAGGATATTTTGATCACGT